CCCATTCAAATCTCTCCTCATGCATGACCCTTCCCTCATGTTGTCCTTGACTACTGGTTAGGCTCATATGGATGCATACAAATCCTTTGGTTGATCTTTTACCTTTATCCCCACCCTCCACTACCTTCCCTCTGAGGTCTGACAGTCTGATCCATGCCTCCTTGTCTCTGGGTCTGTTTTTGTTCATCAGTCTATGTTGTTCATCATTTCCCCTAGATGAGTGAGATCATGTGATATAAGAAATACACTTATAAGAACCGAAAATGAGACAATCTGTAATGGTTATGCTAAGAGGCAAATGAATCAGTCTACAGTGAGTTTCTTTCTGGGCCAACAGTTCTTTAGAGCCCCAAATTCTATGTCAAACAGTTCCCTATGTGTACATGTCAGAAATGATATTTGAAATGGTTGGACAAATGGTGGCGATGCAGGTCTGACCCTCTCTGGTTTGGTCCTGAGCAACCTGCAGTGACACACAGCTGTTGACTGCTAGTATGGCAAGGCATCTCAGTGTCTTCCATCTCTGAACTGCTTCTCTTCTGTCTTCATGGCAGGAGCAGTCCTGTTAATTCCTCTCTGTTGCAGGAATCCACATGGTCTCAGAATTGTTTTCTGAAAATATATAAACCAATTCTCGACCAAAAGTTAATAAAGGAATATTTTCTATAAATTTGATTTGGGATCCTTTTTCATTTTTTGCCCAAATGATTTTTCTCTGGCTTGTTTTGGCACCATGTATGTTTTTCATGAGTGTCTTGCTGTTAGCATTAAAATTGATTTTCTAAAGTACAAATTTTGTAGATGTAATATACTTACAGAATATTTTTTCTTACATGATGCTCTTTTACTATCCCTCTTTTTTGATTTAAATATTAGGAGACTTTTGAAAATTTTATAATGTAGTCTTGATAGCTTTTAAATTTTAATTTCTTGCACTATAATATGACTGCTTTAGGTTTATTACATGTTAAACAATTTTTCCATGAGATGAACTACCAATAAAATTTTTAGTTAACACTTTAGGACCAGCTTTTTGTACAGTACAATTAATTTTTTTAGAATATTCACTTATTTCAATTAGCCAATTTAAATTAGCTTGAAAACTTAACTACTATTTTACTGTCAAATTTAATACTCTAACCACAATCCTACTTTACCCTGTAAATGTTAGTGGAAAGGATTATTTGCCTTCGTGAGTAGGCCCTGAGTATTCCTGGGGGTAGGCTGGATTTAGATATCAAAAACCTACTTCCTCACACCATGGATACAAGACAACTCAAACAAGTCTTGTTGCAGTGAGAGGGCAACTGCTGGCGGCCAAGTTTCTGTATGTTACCTGGGTCCCTATTTGAACTGTACATGGGAAGCAAAGCAGCCATGGGGGCAGGAGACCTCCCTCAGAAGGGGTGAGGGTACAGGCCCCTGCAAAGTTGGGGGTAGTGAGGGTATGTGCTCCACCTCTGTTGACCCCCAAGTTCTCTCCTGATGGCGCCTCTGATACTGGGCCTGTCTTAGCTTGTTCCTTCTCTTGGGAATCTTACTCATCTCTGGCTAACCATCCATCCTCCGGGGCCAAGCAGGGTGATGTCAAGTTCAGTTTTGTCTCCTTGGTAGCTTATGCTCTCATGACCTCCATGCCCAGCACCTACCTTGGGATCCCCTTGCCTGCTGATGGGGCCCCAGCACTGATCACACATTTTGGGGAACCCAGGTTTCTTCTCCAGGGAGGGCCCAGCTTGCCCCACTTGGTGAGAGACAGATCCATGGTACCAGTCATCACGAGGTTTCAACCTTGACATGAACAGAAAGCTCAGGCAACAGCTGTGGGCTATTGGATTATAAGAGGATCCCTCTTGGCCAAAACGGCAAGAGGGGCCAATATAGAATGCTCTGGTGCCTTTCCAGGGGGCCCTCTACACAATGGGAGGGATTAAATCCCTTCATGTCCTTTTTAAATTGCTGCCAGACCCTCAAAGAATTAGTTTGTAAGTTTGCTTGGGATAATTGTATATTATGCTATTGTAATTCTAAAATATCAAGAGATGTGTGACCTTTGTCTCCAAGCACCAAAAAGATGATTTTTTTTTATTGATCCCCAAGGGTGTGAGGTACTATTACAGGTAATGAGGGTAACACAGATCTGGGAAAAATTATATTGACATTGTAGAATAATATCATGTAAGGATATTTGCTCTAGGCCATGGCAATTCCATTTCAAGTTGGCTATCAATTTCTTTTTGTATATACAAGGTCTTACTTACATTTTCTGCACCTCTCCCAGGGGCCAGTAGTGATAGTAGTGACACCTTTTCTTTGTTGTTCATACAAGCCAGAAACCTCTCTTTACTTTTACACACAAAGGGGCAATGGTTTGATAATCATAATGCCAGATGTTTGACAGTGCTACTACATAAGCACTCATGCTATAGCCATCCACAAAGTTCTCCTTTTATTTTTTTAAAATATATTTTTGGTTTTTTCAAAAACAAATGATAACTTTTATTATTTAAAATAAATTGTACAATGAACTATCAAAAATGTAAACTAACAAAACAATCCGATTGCTAAACACACACACACACACACACACACACACACACACACACATACACACACACACAAACACACACACACACACCTATGAATAAATTGAACCTAAGATGTAAAAGACCTAATCTTGGTAATTTATAAGTCACTGTAAGGGAAGCTCACTTCATGAGAGAACATATTTACCAATGATACATACAATAATGGGTTCATTGGTTTATTTCCAATATATAAGGAATTCATACCACTTAAAAGGAAGATAAACAATCAATTAAAAAAATTGCAAAGGACCTGAATAGACACCTCTCTAAAGAGGACATACTTATGGCCAATAGACATAGGGTAAAGTGCTCAAAGTCACTAATCATCAGACGGAGGTAAATTAAAATTACCAGGAAGTATAACCTCAGTCCTGTCAAAATGGCTATCATCAACAAATCAACAAATGTCAAATGCTGGTGGGGATGTGGAAACAAGGGAACCCTAGTGCACTGATGGTTGGGAGGCAGACTGGTGCAGCCACTGTGGAAAACAGTGTTGAATTTCCTAAAGAAATTAAAAAGTAAACAACCACTTGACCCAGTGATCCCATGTCTTGGAATATAGCCTAAGAAATCTGAAACACCAATCAGAAAGAACATATGCACCCCTATTTTCATAGCAGTGCAACTAACAATAGCTAAGATATGGAAGCAACCCATGTACCCATCAGGAGATGAGTGGATAAAAAAAAAAACTGTGGTACATATACACCCTGGAATACTATGCAACTGTGAAAAGGAATTTGCCCTTTGAAATGCCATGGAGGGACATGGAAAGAATTAGGCTAAGCAGAATGAGCCAGTTAGAGAAAGATAAGTATCACATGATTTCACTCCTATGTGGACTCTAATGAACAATATAAACTGATAAGCAATATAAACCCAAGGACATAGAAGCATGGAACAGACTGTGGAAACTCAGAGGAAAGTTTGAGATGGAGGTTGGAGGCGGGGAAAGATTAACCAGGAAACTTATATGCATAGATGCATAGCCCATAGGCACAGACAATAGTGTGGTAAAGGCCTGAGAGGGGTGGGTGTATACTGGAGGGGTTCAATGGGGAATAATGGGGGACATCTGTAATACTTTTAACAATAAAAATAATCCTATGTAATAAAAGCCCAATTTGCTAAGTGCCTAGTAATCCAGTCATTTGTTCAACCAATCAAAGCATAATATGCTAATGATATGCTAAAGCTGCTCAATAGCTCACTGTGATGTGCAATGACCACCATGGGACAGATTCTCTGACTGGTAGGTTAGCTTGCAGCTGGGGTCTGGCCAATTGGCACTGAGCAAGATGTGCTGGACATGCCCTGGAGTCCTCCCAAAGTCCCTCCCCAAATGGCCAATCTCCCACATTCCTTTCAGGCCCCAATCAGGGAACAAATGTTGATATTTTATTCATTTTTTACAGAGAGGAAAGGAGAGAGATAGAGAGTTGGAAACATCAATGAGAGAGAAACATCACTTAGCTGCCTCCTGCTGGGGATGTGCCCAGAAACTAAGGATACATGACCTTGACCAGAATTGAAGCTGGGATCATTCAGTCTGCAGCCTGATGCTCTATCCACTGAGCCAAACCAGTTAGGGCTCTCCTTTTATTTTTAATTTGATTTGAAATTTGAAATACATGCAATTTTATTTTTAATTAGCAGCAAATTCAATACAAGCAAAGGAAGGAAGTTCACATTAAACAATAGATATATCTAGGAAGTAAAGTTTATTTGGAATTTAACAGAATTTTTGTGATTTTTACACAAGATTAACTTATTATGCTTTTCCTTCCCCTGCCCTAATTCCAATTCTCCAGGGTGGTATTTGGGCATGCTGGATCTGTGAGTAATAAAACTTACATGTTCATCATTACATGATGGTTGTTGAAATCATAAGGACATTAAGGATCCATCTAGTCACAACATTGATTCTGATCTAAGGAACAAGTTGTAGGGCTCAGGCCAGTGCCCAGGTATTCCTATCCTATTGTATCACTATCAATAGACTGAGACTTATAGGGAACAATTATAAAGTCTACAGTATCAGGATGATCAGTTAAGGTACTGATGTACAAAGAATGAGGTATACACGGTGAACACAGAACAAATTACATACAATGATATAAGTCATTTGAGAAGAAATTAAGATATCAATGTTGCCGGTGAATTAAATGAAAACTTCCAAATATTTCTGATCAAGATTGGGAAAAACTTTGTGCAGGTAAAAACAGACAAAGGAAACAATGGTCTACATAACAGACAAAGCAGAGAGTTTACTAAAATGGTTACTTAAATTGCATGAGAGATTTGCAACAAACGAAGAAAAGTCAAGGAAAGAATACAAGGAACAAGTCTGAAAACTACAATCTGATGAGAGAATCTCAATTTCTGGTTTTGAGTCTTGGGGCACTTTTTCTACCTCAGGATGATTGTCCCTTTTGTACCTGCCATCCCATAGAATCTTTTCAGGGCCCTCTTTATGTCTTTGTTCCTGAGACTGTACACGAAAGGGTTCAGCATGGGTGTGACCACAGTGTACATCACTGAGGCTGTGGCACTTGAACTTGAGGTGTGGGAAATAGCAGAGCTGAGATACACTCCTATGGCTGTACCATAAAATAAGGAGACAATTGAGATGTGAGATGCACAGGTAGAAAATGCCTTATACTGCCCCTGAGCTGATGGGATCCCACAAATTGAGGACATTATTTTAGAGTAAGAGTAAATGATACCAGCGAGGGGACCAGCACCTAGTAGCACAGCTGCAAAATAAATCACCATGTTATTAAGAAAGGTGTCAGAACATGCAAGTTGGAAGACCTGTTGGATTTCACAAAAATAGTGGGCAATCTCAAAGTGTGTACAGAAGGACAGCTGCAATACCATTATGCTTTGTAAGAGGGAATTCAGGGCACTCATGATCCAGGACACCAGAACCAGGAGTCCACAGAGCCAGGGGTTCATGATGACCATGTAGTGCAGGGGGTGGCAGATGGCTATAAAGCGGTCATAAGCCATCACGGTCAAGAGGATGGCATCCAACCCAAGAAAAAGTATGAAAAAATGCATCTGGGTGATGCAGCCTGCATAGGTGATGACTTTGCTCTGTGACAAGATGTTCACCAGCATCTTTGGGATGGTGGTGGAGGTAAAACAGATGTCTACCAAGGACAGGTTGGAGAGGAAGAAGTACATGGGCGTGTGGAGGTGGGAGTCTGAGCTGACGGCCATGATGATGAGCAGATTTCCCAACACAGTAGTCAGATACATGGTGAGGAAAATTCCAAATATGAGGGGCTGCAGTGCTGGCTCATCTGAAAGTCCCAGAAGAAGAAATTCTGAAATTGGGGTACCATTGCCTCGTCCCATGTGGTGTAGGTGACTTGTAGGAAAGAAAAAAATAGCAAGATCAATTTTTAAACAATTGACTATTACTGACACAATTGAAATGCTACAACTATATTTCACAATAAAGTAATATTTTGAACATGTCCTCCCCTTTAAGACACACCCCTTACCAACCTATGCCATCTCTGATTCAGAATTTCTGTCCTCCTCAGACCCTTTCTTCAAGGTGGCCATGGACTACACAGGTGTTTTTTGTTTTTGTTTTTCCTTCATTTGTTTTAAAATCTTTATTATTGAGAGAAAATAAAATAAAATAATAAAATAAAATGTCTATTATTGAGAGGATTACAGGTGTCCTTTTTTCATCTCCAACACCCCTTTACCCAGTTCCCATTCCCCACAGGCCTTAATCATCTGATTGTCTGTATGCATAGGAGATGCATATATTCTTATAAGATCTTTGGTTAATCTCTGCCCTACTCTACACCTTCCTTCTGGGATTTATCAGTCTGTTCCATGTTTCTATGCCTCTGGTTCTATTTTATTCATCAGTTTATTTTGTTCATTAATTTCATTTTTCATTTACCTTGATTTTTAATTTTTATTACTGAGATATGTTTTTCTTTCCATTCTATTCTTCATATTTTCTATTTTTTCTTCTCCATTTCTTCCTCCACCTCCTATTCTTCCCTCTACCTCCCCCTCCTCCTCATTTTTCTTTTCCTCCCTTCTCTTTTTCTTCTTTAGAATACTCTTCAACATTTGCTGTAGCGCTGTTTTGGTGGTGATGAACTCTTTTACCTGTATGTGAAGCTCTTTATCTGACCTCCGATTCTAAATGTTGGCTTGGCTGGGTAGAATAATATTGGTTGTAGGTCTTTGATATTCATCACCGAATACTTCTTACCACTCCCTTTTGGCCTGCATGGTTTCTGTTGAGAAATCAGCTGAGAGTCATATGGGTGCTCCCTTATTGGTAACTAACTGCTTTTCTCTTGCTGCTTTTAAAATTCTCTCTGTCTTTTTCTAAAATATGTATTTTTATTAATTTCACAGAGCAAAGAAGAAGGAGAGAGAGATAAGAACATCAGTGATTAGAGAGGATCATTGATTGGCTGCTTTCTGCACACACCTTACTTCAGTCCTGGTTCCATGCTCTATCCACTGAGCCAAACTGGTTACGGCTACAGCTTAGTAATTGTTAATGTCCTTACCTAATGATGAGTATTATAGTATCCATTATCCTATGATGGGGAACAGATAATCAATATACTGTATATAGAAAGCTTGGTGTACTTCCTTCTTGTTGGTAAATGAATGGTTACAACTATGATGGGATGAGGCTAATGATTTTCTTCTACCTCTCAAATGTATATATTGTTTCCCAACTTCTTGGTCTCCAATTCCACAGACATATTTCAGTTCCAAGTCATCTCTCCCATCTAATGGGCAAGCACCTGTTTAGCCAAATATTCACTTTGATTCAGAGAGAACTTTAAAGATGATTATTGAACACTGACTTAAATTCCTCCCCTAGTGATACTTCACCAGAGATAGAAGCCAAAATTCTGTAGCTTCAAACACAAGGCTCAATCAAGTGTCTGGGAACTTTTGATCAGCTCCACATTCACAGAGCCCTGGCCTCCTGCACTGCACGTTGGCCTCCTGAACATTGAACTTGACTCCAGCTTCACCTGACACCATAGCTTCAGGGCTCAGACCCTTTATGGGGTGCTTTTCTCTGCTTTGGGTCTACCCACTGGTATTTTTGGAATTTTCACCCCCCTCTCCATCCTCCAAACTCTAATTCCTCTTTCAGAGAGACTGAATCCTCTACTTCACGAAACTTTTCTTTTTCTAATATTAGCACAGAAAAAGGTCACTTTCTCATGCTCTTAATCTAAGTGTTAGGGCACCCATGGTGAGATCTTTATTTAATTCCATGTCTTTGCTTCTTGCTAGACTGTGAGTACCTGAGGCATGCAACATTTTATAGAAACACCTTCTCTCCCTCCAGATTTAGTTGAGTGTGGCTGACATGCTTGTATTCTATGACAGGATTCTATGAAGTTTAATGTGGAGGACATGCTTGAGGAGTGTTCTCCATATTTGAGATCAAGAGCCACTAGAATGTCAGATTACAGTTTTAAGAATGATATAGAATGGAATCCAGGAGACACAAAAGAAAGTATTAGAGTGTGTCATACACAGTGAGGGTACATACATAATCATTCATGGTTCCCTTTGTTCTCTTGTGTATGAGTGTGTGTGTGTGTGTATGTGAGTTTGTTTGCGTGCATGCAAAAATGCTGGATTACGATATAAAAGGCATGTCTTATTTTGAGACACAGTAAAACAGATTTAGAATTTAACACAAGATATTTAAGACCTGCTTAAAAGGCCAATTCCTGCTAATGAAGGGAAAATATCAAGAGTGAAGAACCCAGCAGAGGCAAGTGTAGAGATACCAGAGAGCCAACATGGGTACTGAAGTTACCTCCAACTCAAGGAACCATATACTGACTGGACCTTCCCTGCACGCCTGGCCTCATCACAGCGTCCTCCCCAGTCTCTGATATAATTGTGATTCCTGCACCTAATCCATGTTTATTAGAGCGCTTTGGTGTTTATATGGCTCAATAGCATCTTTCCTTTGCTATTTTTGGCTTTGAGTTTTTATCTCTTTTGTAACACAACTGATGGGTGGGCACTAGTTCTGGTTTTGTTCCTTGTCAACTTACAAATTATTCTGGAACATTTTTCATAAAATCCTGCTTAATTGATCCTCTTTCTTCATATATTTACCACTGAGATTGTGATATCATAGCACACTTATTTCATTGTACTGGGCCTTCTCTGTATGATGCAATGTAAAATGAGGAGGGAGCTTACTGACTTTGTTCATTTATGTAGTTTTATAAACGTGTGCTTTTATATGGAAATGTTAAGGTATGGAATATTCATAATATAAAAATGGCAGGGAAAATAAATATGGTTAAATATTGTGTATACAAATAATGGCATTAATAAAATTGAATAGAATTATAAAACTAATTTCAAAAGAAAAGCCAAAGTAAAAACAAGCAAACCCCACAAAATTTAAGTACATCAGTATGGGTCTCCAATCCCAGATATACGGGCAAGGATGTAAAAAAAAAAAAAAAAGTATGTTTAAAAGGCAGTGAAGAAAGCACTATCTACACTTATAATTTCTATCGATATAAACATAAATAGATTATGCTTAGAAAATCGATAGAACGGATCATTAATTGAATGCAAAAAAAGGTTTTTTTTGGTTGTTTTTTTGCCAATGTGAAATATGTAGAACTGTTTATGTTTACAAGTAATGGGAGAAGACACAGTATGACAGACTGATAAAATTGGCCACACAAAATTAATACATTTTCATCCATTACCCTAAATCCCATCTGTACACATATAAAGGAATTCTATGCCAAACAGCACTGTTTTCAGGACAAAACTAAATTAGCACACTAACTGTATTAACTATGTATTCGCCTGTCTAGCAAACAGATATGGCAATCTCTCAGCTCTGAGCTGGCCTGGTTAGGCTCTCAGGTTACCTCAGGGAGAAATTCTGGGATGCCTTCCTTGTATCTTCCCACAGCATCTGCTGCACTCTCAGACTCACCTGATGGGGCTCTGAAAGGAAGGGCTCCTTGTAGAAGTCTGAGTTGCTCCATGGATGGTTAATGTTGGAGACTGAAGCTCTGTTCTCAGACAAAAGAGCAGAAAGGAGTCAGGCACTAGTCTCAGAGTCAGACTTGAGACTCCAAAAGAAACAAATATGTTCTGTTTCAGCCCAACCTTGCACATGTGAGTCTGATGCAAAGGAGATATTACTTCTCCTTTAACTGCTGGTTAGATACTGTTGGCTTTATTGCTCCTACCTCTGAGCACCAGGTTTTCCTGTGGGACACACTGGTCTAAACAGAATGGAAAATTTTTCTGATGATTCCTTGTTCCCAAAAGACCAGGTTAGAAGTTTAGTGAATCCTATTTTTGTTACTCCTTCTCCATGACATCTCTTGAGGTCTCATTTCCCAGCACCTTATCCAATTTTGAATTACATTTTCTCTAAAGTTTAAGACTGTTGAGACTGGTTTGGCTAGGAAACTTGGATTTTCAAAATATTGATCCATCGTGGGGCACAACCCATGATATCTTCAGGAAATGCTATTTATCTCTTTATCAAGTGAGAGGACTATGTGACCTTGATGTATGTAAAGCTTTGAGCACCACCCTCCTTGACTTCATGACACATTTTCCAAATCAATGAGAAATTTCATTCTTATATCAGAAAATAAGAGCTGCTATTTAGTCCCACATTATAAGATCTTTGCTAATTGGGAGACATAATTACATAATTTAGTGCTATCCAATCTGAGTTTAGTACCTTATATGCATTGTTTGATTTAAATTTTATAAAAGTACTTTCTCTGGAGTGATAAAATTATGACCTTCATTCTCCATTGCAGAAGTGGGGCTTGAAGAAGTTTAGTGACCAAACCAAAATTATAATCAGAGTAAAAAATAGATGATGATTAGATGTCATGATGCTTTCAGTTCTCAAAATGTGCAGTGGTTGCCAATGAGGGAAGAACACCAAAAACACATAATTATGTCACATTTAGGCGGTAAAAATTCCTCGTCTAGATGAGCCCTACTCCAACTTCAAAGTGCATATTATTGACTTAAAAAATATTATTGGCTAAGTGTTTCATCACCAAGAGGATTTATTCATGAAAAAAGAAAATATCGCAGCTCATGACAAGCCACATGCACACTCTGGCCTGTGTGCCAAGATGGAGGGGAACTTATGAAGAGGGAAGGAAGAGGCAAAGGGAAGTTAGAACCATGAGATTTATAAACATAGAGTTCTTCCTGTCGGGCTCTCCCAATTACATACAGTGTGAGAAATTCATTTAATTCTAGCTCCTCCCAAAGCCCCTCCTGGCTGGTTATGTTTACTGAAATTCCCGTTAGTCTTTATCAATATG